AGAAACCCTGTCTCGAAAAACCAAAAAAAAAAAAAAAAAAAAATAGAGTTTGAATTTAAATTTACTTTTTATCTTTGGAAATTCTCCTTTGAACTGTTCAAAGAGCTGTACACATGTTCTGGCCTGCATGTTAGGACAGTGTTGTTAGGTTCCAAACACTATAACAAAATACCTCAAATAATTTGCTTATAAAAAGGAAAATTTATCTTGGCTTATGGTTCTAGAGATTTCAGTGTGTAATCAATTAGCTCTCTGTTCTGGGCCTGTGGTGAAGTAGCATGTTGTTCTGGGAGTGTGTGGCAAAATAAAACCATCCACCTGATAGGAAGAAAGGGAGGGAGGAAACAGTCAAGTCAGTTTAGAGTCCCCCAGACCCCAGCAACTTAAAGGCACTAAACTATTATTAACCCTCTTGTGCTATCATCCGAAATGCTGTGCTGAGGATCAAACCTTCATCATGACGTGGACTTTTGAGGGGCACCTGGCATTCAAGCTAAAGCAGATAATAATTGTTCTCTCCAGTGGTGCCTCTCCATTACCGGAAATGTTGTTGGTGAAGATTTCTGTACTTTAGTTTCAGCCCTGTAACAAACCCAGCATGCTGGAAGGGCCCCAAAGAGATTATCTAGTTAAATGGAAACTAAGTTAGGAGCAGAAATGTAATCAGTTTGTTGACAGTGAGAATAGTCTTATTTGTACTTGGCAGAAGCATTCTTGTTGGAAAGGGTGTGCACAGTCCACGGTTTGTGAAACTGTTGGTCATGATTGCTCTTACAGGAGTGGGGGAGGGGAAAGAATAAAGTAAGGCAGGCGCACAATGGGATAAAGAGCAGCAGCATCTTCAGTTCATTTCGTATAGTCTGATGCCCACAGAACACTCTGTCTCATCATGCTGGAATCTGGCGTGCAGTATCTCATAACATCTACTGCTTTCATATTGTGCATCTTGGTCAGTATCTTAGTAAGAGATGATGAGTTGAAATTCCTGGGCAGAAAACTTGGAAAGGAAGTTATAATGTATAATAAGCAGCAGATACTGTTCACAAATAAAATTGCTTGTTTGACATATGTTCACTAATGTGAAATTTTAATTTGACATTTAATTTAGGATCTTAGAATTGATCGGCATTGAAACAATTGATAATTGGTGTTTATTTTTTCTTACAGAGAAGAAAATGGAAAATGGATGAAGTTATTTTTTTTTTGCCATACTTTAAAAGTTGTATTTCCTTTATCTTTTCTAGGTTGCTGTAGTTAAACTGAAAAATGCAGATAAAGTATTTGCCATGAAAATTCTGAACAAGTGGGAGATGCTGAAAAGAGCTGAGGTGAGTGAGTCTCTGGGCTGCAAACTTGATGGCACTAGGTTTCTAAGTTAGGCCACTTTAAAACATGCTGGTGTAAAAGCTTCTGTACATCAATGTTGGAGTACTTTTGTGAACTTATGCATAGTCTGAACACAAGTGAGGCAGACTCACATTATTAGTCCATTTAATTATTCCACCAAAATTAACTTTATGTGTTTGTAAAGGAGAAATTTCAAAATGAGGGAAGAAAGACTGTGAGAACCAGCCATGCCACCCACAGAGTGCAGTCAGTGTAAAGGGCCTGTGAGGTGGCTTAGCCGAAGTTTGATCCCTGGAACCTATGGTGGAAAGAGAAAGTTGTCCTCTGACCTCCACAGGTGTGCACTGAGGCACCTACGCACCTATATGCACACATGTACACACACTTATGCACACATGTACAATTAACATTAAAAAAATAAAAAGGTAGAAGAACTATGAAGTGCTCTTAATTAGAGATATTGGCGGGGTGGCCCCGAGGGCTCCAGTTTTTGTAAAGAGGTGTTGAAATGATCTTACGACAATTTTTATATGATAGGTAGGATTTTGTTGTGTGAATGTTACAACGTAACTACCTTCCTGGGTTTGGAGTAGGGGACACATATGAACTTTGGAAGCTGTTGCTCAAATAAATGTTTTAGTTATTAACTTAGAGTATGTAACTATGTGTAGTTTTAAGCACATTTGCCAAATATAGATATCAAATGATTTTTGTTAGTTATATTAAAAACATTTTTTTACTAACTACTTAAAATTTTTTGTGTCTCATTTTCTTGTGTTCATCAAATATATGTTAAACTATATACTTGAAAGTAAATGTAAAAGCTGCTGGGTTCAGCTATCCTATCCTTAGTTAGATAGCAAGTTCAAGACTAGCCTGGGACACAAAAAGAACTTGTCACAAAAACCCCAAACAACTAAAAACAGTGAATTTGATGCCTTGCTATAAAAAAATGGAAATCTTTAAGATATTTCTAAATTTAAAATTCCATTTATTTTTCAAAATGAAAATCTTAGACTTTAAATATTTTAATATTATTTGAAAAATTTCTCTATAACAGTATTTTGTGAAGGAGAGAAGTCTTTATTTTTATTCCCAATAAATGAGAAGCCTAACTAGGTATAATCATCAGTATACTTTGCATTTTGACTGATTTTCATTATTATTGTGTGATTGCATGTGTGTGAGTGCACGTTTGTGCACACGCACATACAGGTACATGATATATATGTTTGAGCATAGGCAGATACCTGCTATTTGCAGATCCCTGCCATGATACATGTGTGTATCAGACAACAACTTTCAGGAGGTTAGTTTATCGACCCCCCCCCCCCGTCCTCCCCTTCCCCCCTATCCCCTCCTCCGTCCCCAGGATCTAGGGTCTAGACTCGGGTCATCAGACTTGAATGGTAAGTACTTTTTACCTGCTGAGCCATTTTGAGGGCACTATGTATGTAGCTTTGATGTGCTGTATAGGATTGCTGATTTGAGGCATGTATTTTATGGTTGTTCTAAAGAGTCATGTGACAGCTTTGCAGAATTATTGTTTATATATGGACCTTATTTAATCTCTGTTTCAACGTAGGAATTCTTGTTGTGCATTATCCCAGTAGTCTATTAAGGATGAAGTTTAAAGAACATATTACTGAATACAGAAAATGTAAAAGTGCATGAAACTTAAATCATTCTGGCAAGCAAAACGCTTGGTTGAAATTTGAAAATCAGCCAGGTGTAGTGACACATGCCTTTAGTCACAGCACTCAGGAGATTTTCTTAACAGGGCTACTGTTGATACTTGCTTATTTCTTGTGGAAGCTGATCTGTTCATTATGTGATTGAAATATCCTGTCTTCTCTTTATTAGATGCCAGTAGTATCTTTCCCAATTGCCATAAGCAACTTAGGACAAAGTACATTAAGCAAAATGTCTGGAATATGCCTTATATCTAGATCTAATATCTGTGCTTTAAAAAGAATAGCTTATTATGAATAGACTATATAATGCCTGATGTCGTGACCCAGCATGTCTCAGCCTTAGTCCATGGGGTTCTACCTGAGTGGGGGTGTGTGGACCTGGAAGTTTCGAGGAACCCAACGGTGATAAAGACCAAACACAGGCATCTTGTCATCTTCAGAGAGCTCTCAGTTCCATGTTGTGGAACTAGAGTCATTTCTTTATTAGCCATCTTTTCTGGTGTCTCTTAACCATCCTGCTATTACTATGAGGCAACCATTTCTCTCATTGTTCTCCTCTCGCTGCTCACCCTGCTCACCTGCTCGCCCTGCTCACCTGCTCGCCCACTTCCTAAACATTACTCACCTACCTCTGATCTCCCTGCCCAGGTGCAGGCCTATATAGATGCTTAGGTGCATAGATATGCAAATAAGGAGGCATATTATCCTGAGGCCGTGGTAAACAAAAGTATCCCTGCTGACATTAACAATACAATAGTGGGCCAGAGTTTCCTGGTGCCACCGCTGTTTATGGTGGCCAGAACCTGGGACCCATATTCGGTCTCCCACAGCCTGAGACTGTCTTTATAGAATAGTTTGTGTGTGTGAGTGTGCACTAGTGGAGCTGAGGGATGGTGGTGCTTGTGTGAGAGTGTCATAAAATAAGAGTGGGGAATAAAATAATTGCTGTAATCGAGTGACAGTACTTTGTGAGAAACAATTTAGACTCTACTACTGTATATGTTTGAAATTGTATATTGTAGTTTATTATATATATTTATCTTTTAAAACATTTTTTTACTGAGCAATTCAGGATAGATTAGAACTTACAATAAAATTTGTTTTGACTAAAGTCTTCAGAGTTTAGTTTGGAATTATTAATCAAGTAAAGCAGTATCTACTATATTCTAGCTGGATTGTCTTTAAAATTTCAGATCACTGCCATTGTAAGATAAAGCCAGGAAAGGGGTTTCCTGGGCTCTTTTAGTCTTCTAAAATACTAAGTGCAAACCATTCTTTGAGGTCAGTTAAGCTATACAGCTGGACTTAGTAGGTAACATGATTCTGTGTTCTTCCTGAAGTGAACTAAAGCAAAATGTTATAGATTTTAATAACTCGACTGACAGTTTAAATCACTATTTAATGGGTTACATTTACTTGTTTTAGTATTTTCTCAGATATTGCTATTTAATTCCCGGCTTTGGCACTTTTGTTTGTCCAAATAAGTGCTTTGTGTATATACATGAGAATACTAGAGAATACTAGGGCTAGTTGTATAATAATTTATTTCATGTATCATGGCTACTTAATCTTTCTTATGGATAACCAGTACCAGCTGTAAGAGCTGAGGATATGGCTCACGAGTACAAAGACTGTCTAGCATGTCCAAGACCCCAAGTTCTGTCTTACTACAATGCAAAAGTCAAAAGCACTTGCTATGCTCATTTTTTATGTCTTTAAAAATGGTGAAGTGGATATGGAGAAATTGGATATTTGTGTCATGTAGGTAATGGGTTGGTTGGTCTGTGTGTAAGCTAAATAATTCTGCGAATTTTTCAGATTGTTTTGGACTAAAGCAGTTCTAAAAATTATTAAACGTTTTATACTGTGATACACATTCTCGAGCAATTGTTTGGATGGTGTTTTCTAGGTTTGTATAAAGTGTTCTTTAAAATCCTCCCTTCCCTTTCAGACAGCATGCTTTCGTGAAGAGAGGGATGTGCTGGTGAACGGGGACAACAAGTGGATAACGACTCTGCACTACGCCTTCCAGGATGACAACAACTTAGTAAGAAATAGTTTTCTAACCGTAGTCTTTAGTGGATAGAGATTAGCATTACTTTTCTAAAGTGTTATAGGTTTTTTTTTTTTTTTTTTTTTTTTCCCTGAAACAGGGTTTCTCTGTATTGTTTTGTCCTGGAACTCGCTATGTAGACCAGGCTGGCCTTGAACTCACAGAGATCTGCCTGCCTTGAACTCACAGAGATCCGCCTGCCTCTGCCTCCCGAGTGCTGGGACTAAAGGTGTGCGCCACCAACACCCAGCTAAACATAGATTTTTTTTTAAATAGAAGAAAAAAGACTATGTTTTCCAGAGTAAGTTGTATACTTGGTATGAGAATTTTTTTGTCTGAGAAATTTGATGCTTTTTTAAAATTGAATTTGCTATGTCTTTACATAAGAAATCCCCAACTACATCCAGACTTTTAATTTACTTAAGTTAAATGCTATAGGAGACAGTTCAGGAGTTTTTCTTTTTATGACTCTCCCAGTAGATTTCATTAGTAATGTTCTGCTTCTTAAAACTGTATTCACTTTTCAGTGTGACCATATGCTGTATTCACTTTTCAGTGTTTCATATGACATCATGGGCCGCCTCACCATTTAGGTGAGCTACGTTCATATGACATCATGGGCCGCCTCACTGAAGTTTGGGAGGAACTTAGGGAAAGCTCAAAATACCAGAATCTGTACCACCTGAGTATAAATAACAATGAATAGAGAAACTAGAGACAGGGACGGACAAGTCAAAGGATAAAAAAGGTTAAGTTTTCTCCAGTACAATATGCCACTACTTGGCTTGCTGCTATTCATAGTTCTTCAGTTTTTGATCCATTTTTATTTCCAGATTTATATCTTTTAGTGGGCAGCAAACAGAATTTAAAAGTTAAATAGAAAGGAAAATGAACATTTATGACAATTATTGAGACTTGTGAGCACACTTCCACCCCCTTTAGATGGGGAACTACCGACATACTAAAGTACTATACCACCAAAGTCCAACTTGGTGAGCCATTGAATTGTGTTAGGGTTGACTGTAGGAACAGAAATGACTCACAGGCAGCTCTGTCACCAAAAATCCACCCCGAGGTGAGGTGACTGACAGTCCATAAAGCCAGAAGCCTGGAGCACACTGCACACGTGCAGGCCAGCCGCTCAGCAGGTTGGAGAGTGTCCTCTGGGGCAGCTCAGTTGGTCTGAATGGTCTGTGCTTTTCCAGGTAGCTCCACTGCTCAGAGTAGCGGAGGCAGCTTGGCCTGTCTAGCAGTGTCATTCTGCAGTCGGTAATGTTGTGCACACTTGGAAGGAGAGGTTGGTACTAGTGAATCTGGTCAGTTTCGGAGACCAGCTATTTTGAGTTGTTTACTTCCTGACTTAAGGAGCTTCCCTGCACAGTGGAAAGTTTGCCTCCCTTAGAACACCCTGCTGCTGCTCACCTCCTGATGAACACCCTATGTCTTAATGAGCTTCCCTCCAAGATGGAAGCTTTTGATCGAGGAAGAAACTGCTACACAAACAACAGTGGCCTTTGTATTTTAGTACATCGTATGCATCACTGTGGTTTGTAGTCAGAATTGTTTCTAAAGATGATAGGATAAAGCTTTGCATGTGTTTACTGTTCAGAGTCAGAGTGAATGGGATGATAGTTTAGTTTGATTATTGTAATTTTAGGGATGGACATACCATGCAGAAATATATGTAGACTGATTAGCAAAATTCATGAGCACATTGAACATAAACTAGGTATTTATTTACACTTAGAAAAAGTATTTATCATGGTAATTTTCAAAAGTAATAAAGGCTAAAATCCTGCCAGTGTATACTTTTACCGTGAATTTATGCATCATTTAAAAACTACATTTTGTTATAAAGTAGAAGTAAATATAAAAAGTGCTCAAACAGAAAATTTTAATTATTATTTATTTTATGTATATCAATGTTTTGCCTGCATGTATGTTTGTGCACCATATGCCTTCTGCCTATGGAGGTTAAGAGAGGGAATCCAATCCTCTGGAACTGCAATTAGGGACAGTCATTAAGTGCTCTTAATTGATGAGCCCCCTCTCCAGCCCCACAAAGGTCAAATTTAAAACAGCAAAAATTTGCCAAAAAGTATTAAGATGAGAAAAAAGGTCTAAGCTGCTTATTACCCTTTGTGTCTTGTGAATTATTCAGACTGATCTGCAGTCTTTACATTAGACTTTAGCATATGCATGTCTTCTTCAGTGGCATTCTCTGAGATATGATCTGTATATAGAAGTTATATTATTTATATATATTATATGGGAGGAGGATCAAAATGAAAATTCTTGTCATTTACAGAATTCTGAAGTCTTAGTTATCATCACAGCCATTCTTTTAAGCTTTAAAAGATGTTAGAAAATAAATGAGTGCGTGTAGCTGAGTGGTAACTGCAAGCATTTGGACGGCTCAGATGGGATGGACAGGGATGAATTATGGCATTTGGGAGTCACGGAATACTGGGTGTTACAGCTTGGATAGAAAGGTGTTTTGGCATTCAGGAGCCAAGGAATACCACAGGTCACATAAGCATAGCAGTTTATATAGCCTTGCTTCAGGGAAAAGCTTCCCTGGTGTATCAGCTCTGCTCCTGCAGGCGAGGGCTTCCTGGGGCAAAGTTTTTACTGTTCGGCTCCAGTCCCCCAGAGAGTGGAGTGTAACAACTTACTTTGCCAGGGAAGGTTTCCCCGGCAAAAAGTGATACAGCCCTGCTTTGCTCTGCTCTGCTCCACCCAGGGTCATCTCTGCTCCAGAGAAAGAAGTTCTCACCCAAACCTCATTCAAGTGTTTTTTTTTTTTTTGGGGGGGGGAGAAGAATCCAGGAGAGTGGCTGCCCATTAGGGGTTGTAGGTATATTTAATTTGCGTATCTGTTCTTGATTTAAATCTGGTTATATCTAGACAGAAAATGTTTGTATTTTGTGGAGTTACAGGGTTTTCAAAGTATGACCTGACAATTTCCTGGATTTCCTCAGTGCCTCCCGTTTCAGGGCCAAAGTGTGTTTCTTGCTTGGTCCTTTTTTACCCTTAGTTTTAGGGCCAGTGTGTATTTCTTTCACTGACTGATTCCAAGGATAAAGTGTGTTTCTTTGGTACTGGTTTCAAGGTCAGGGTGCATTTCTTTGGTTTTGGTTGCAGGGCCAAAGTGTGTTTCTTTGGCTCTGCTCAGGGTGTGTTTCTTTGGCTGGCCCCTTTTCCCTACAGTAACTACTGTGCCTAGCATACACAAGGCTCTAGATTGCATCCCCCTGCACCACCCAAAACAAAAAGAAAACCACCCATAAAACCTGTTTTGGAGCTGAAGCAATAGCTTAGCAGTTAAGAGCGCTTGCTGTTCTTATAAAAGACCCGAGTTTAGTTCCTACCAACTATATTGGGCAGCTCACAACTGCCTGGAACTCCAGTTCCAGGGGACATATGCTGTTCTCTGACCCCCACGGGCACCTGGACACCTGCAGTTCATATACATACACTCAGTGCCTATGCACACTCATAAATAAGTAAATAAATCTTTAAAGGTTATTAGAAAATGAAACAATTTAAGAATGTAGACAAATCTAGTTTTAGATACCAAAACAGAAATTGTACTAAATATATTTATTTTGCAAAGTAACTTTTGACCATTTTTTAAGTAACCAGACATTTTTACTGTTATATAAATCAAGAAATTTATGGTAGTTAATTTGGATTTCAATTTCCAACTTTCCTAGATACTACTATGCACATACCATGAAAAAGTGTAGGGTTATATGGAGTGCCTTTAGTGTGCTTAAGCAGAAGATGCACAGTTTAATATATGATGCTAAGATGTAAATAGAATATTTTTTATGTCTTTGAGGATCATGAATCAGAAAAATTTATATTTTTCTCATGTGTTCTTACTCTTAATTTCCTGTGTATTTTATGCTTGAGGGATAAAAGGGAAATGTTTAAGCTATAATTTCTTGAATTATCATTTATTTATAAATTATTTTGAAATAAGATCTTATTCCATGTCCAGGGCCAGACCTAAACTCACTATGTAACTCAGGCTGGTCTTGCATCCTCAATACTTTTGTCCCAGCCTCTTGTGTGTGGTATAGTGACTTTATTTTATATTTTATATTTGGGATGGTTAGTGAGGCTTGAACCCAATACCCCGTGGATGTTAGAGACTGACTTGTAGATGTTATAACTACTGAGTTATAGCACCAGCAAGAAATATAGTTCTCACTGAGCCTGGAGCTTACTGCTCCCTTAAATATTGGACTTTTTTGGTTTTTGAGACAGGGTTTCACTGTGTTAGTTGAGCTAGCCTTGAGTTTGTGATCCTCCTGCCTTAGCCTTCTCCTCAGGCTGTTTATTACAGGTATGTTCTTATTACCCCTGGCTGAAATATTGGTTGTAATTGGGTTGCTCAGATGGATAATGCTAGATCAAATAATACCCTTCTTTATTTATTTAGGCTGACCCCTAACCTGCTATGTAGCCTGAACATTACCTTGAACTTCTGATCCTTCTGCTTCTAGCTCTTGAGTGCTGGGGATTGTGTGTCATCATGCCCAGTTTGTGCAGAGCTAGGGACAGAATACAGGCCCTAGTGCATGCCAGGCAAGCACTTTACCGACCGAGTTATAGCCTCAGCTCCATCATTAAAGTTTTGGCCCTGTAAAGTGACTTTTCCAAAGGACTGTAGTGTTTGTTGATGTGAAGCTAGTGTTTCTTCTGACTCTCCCAAAGCACAGCCACACATGGTATCTTGCTGCTGCTTTGTTGTTCATTTCTGGATACAGTATGGCAGTGGGGCATGTGTTCTTGGCTGATGCTGACTGTAAATGTCTGTTAATATCCTTGGCCTAATTTCTTTGGATTGTTTGTCTTCTAAACAGTTGGGAAGTGCTGCTCACTTGGAAGGCTGTTTTCTTCCTTCATCTATTTTAGGATCGTTGCATCTTGGTTTATATTTGTTTGAATGAGTTTAGAGAAAGTTTAACCAGATTGGATGATATTTTTTAAGTAGTTCATGAGTAAAAACCTGTTCTACGAGACACTTAATTTTACTGAGAAATTAATTCAGAATGCTAGAACAATATTGACACAAACATAGGCAACCACAGCAGATCCAGGGACAGAGGTATTTTGGGTTCTTAAAGTATGATAAAGGTACATCTCAACTGAATGAAAGAAAATAATAGATTGTTTAGCAACTCAGTTTACATAGTAAGCATTCATCTGTTAGAAAATAATCATTACATCCTGACAAAAATAAATTTTAGACAAATCAGTGAGCCAAACTGAAAAGTTGGGTTCGTTTTTTGTTCCTATACTCCTGACCCTGAGGACCCAGGTCCTCATCCAGGTAAAGCTCTACTACAAAGCTACACTTCTGGCTCTAAATAGTTTTTGGAGTTTGCAGTGATCTTGATGATCAGGTTGCCCTTGACTTGTGATCTTCAGCTACTTCACTAGCAGGGTTACTGACCAGGGTCACCATGTCTAGCTGAATTCTTTTAAGAGCCTGAAGCAATTCTCTAATTTTATTCCTGCCAATATATTTATGGTGCTTTGAGGTTGATCATTAATTTGTGTTTCTTTGTAGAGTATAAATTTTCTGCAAGTATATATTCTTACTCGTTTGTTGTACCTTCATTTGGATGAGTATGATGTTACCACACAGTAGGAATCTGAAAAATTGTTTATAGAATTGGTGAATGAATTTATTTGTTCTTCTAATTCTGGAGTCCATTTTTCATTGTTGTGGAAATCTACCCATTTTAACTTGTGTCTGTAGCAGTAAATGCCACAGAGAGGCAGTGGTCTGAATTAGGATGCTGTTAGTGGATAGAGATAGCAACAGATTACATACAGAGTTAGTAGGTAATAGACTCTAAAAGACCTTAGTGATTGAATTCAGTCTGTTGAAATAGATCCAAAGACTCTAATTCCAGGTAATCAGCATGATCCAGCACCTCTAATCCAGTACTCTCTAATGACAAACTGCCATTAAAAGTTTTGTGGATTTTCCTCCTTTTTTTCCCCCAACATGATGGAATCTGGCTTTATTAGCAGTCAGGCCCATTGGTGGAGGTGCACGCCTTTAATCCCAGCATTGGGGGCGGGGGGGGGGGGCAGAGGCAGGGGGATCTCTGCGAATTCAAGGCCAGCCTGATCTACAAGAGCTAGTTCCAGAACAGCCTCCAAAGACACAGAGAAACGTGTCTTGAAAAACCAAAGGGGAAAAACAATAACAACAACAACACCAAAAATAAACAAAAAAAAACAAGTAGCCAGTTTACTTCTGAGAACAAAGTAAAGGAAGACTCTGAACTCAATTTAGGAGGCAAGAAAATGTAGGAATACTTTCACATTTATCAGTTGTCTTTATCATGGAAGACATTAAGTAAAAGTACATTGATAGTTTGGGAGGGAATAGGCTTGGAGTTTAAGTAATAAAAGGAAGCATAGACTAGTATGTGGATAAAGGTTCTGAAAAGTTAGCTTGGGAAACCTTATTTTGAATGCTGACCATCAATAGAAAAAATGAAATAATAATTCTTTTTAGCTATTCAGTGGTATCTTTAGCTATTTTATGAATCTGGTGTAATAAGAGTAGCTTGCCCTGTCAAGGGAAAAGCCCTTGGTGTAGGGCCTGCCATCTCTTTATCCCATGGGCATGTCCTTAGGGATTCCAAGTGGCCCTCTGTAAACATACACTAAAGAATGAGTTGTGTTGTATGACTTTCTGTAAATAAATGAGTCTATTTGAATTGCACCTTGTACTTTAAAGTCTTTTCTTGTTTCAGTTCTCATTGAGCTTTATTGTAAAGTAAGAGATTAAAGTTTCTTTTCTACAACTGTCTCCATTTCTTGCAACCTGATAATATTATAGAATTTTATTACATTGCATTAACTTGTTATAAACTTCAGGGTAGAGCTAGTTAAATATTAGGCCTCCTAAATACAGCAAGTTATCTGTAGACCAGGACTGAAATATAATTTCCCTAATTTTCAAGGCTTTAAATATATAAAATTATTTTTTTGACATACATTCTCTCTCTCTCTCTCTCTCTCTCTCTCTCTGTGTGTGTGTGTGTGTGTGTGTGTGTGTGTCTATCTGTCTGTCTGTCTATCTGTCTGTCTGTCTGTCTCTGTCTCTGTCTTTCCTGAGACAGGGTTTCTCTGGGTAGCCATGGCTATCCTGTACCTAACTCTGTAGACTAGGCTAGCCTTGAACTCACAGAGGTCGCCTGCCTCTGCCTCTGGAGTGCTGGAAAGAATTTTTAAAGCCAAATGTAAATCATAATGTCAGCACAGGGATAGCCTTGAAATGTTTTCATCTTGTAATAAAGTATCATTGAGCTGGAGAGATGGCCTAGTGGTTAAAAGCACCTGCTGCTCTTTCAAGGACCTGTCTTTTGTTCCCAGCACTCACATGGTATTGTACAACTGCCTGTAACTCCAGTTCCAGGAGATCCCTTTTCTGACCTCCATAGGAATGGGTCACAGTTGTGCAAAGACATATATGCAGGGACTCACTTGTACTCAGAATAAAAATTGAATAAATCTTCAGAAAAAAAATATTGTAACATCAAGGCATGCCAAGTGGTACATATGCATATGGACATGTATAAGTAATAAATACTTGAAAACAATCTAAAATGTAACAAAATCTATAATATCACTTGTTATCTAGCTCAGAGAGCCTGCCGAACACTCTGACATATACCCTTCCCTTCTTTGTTACGTACGTACACACACACACACACACACACACACACACACACACACATCTAAAGTGGATATGCTTCTGTTATGTATATTTGAGAAAAATCTATTGTGGAAGTTAGTGATACTATCATTTACTTGGCAAAGGACAAAAAGCAGCAAAAATTGTAATCTTGTATTTTATACCAAGTTTTAAAACTTTGTTTCCTTGCTTATAAAATTTAGAAGGCTTACTATTATTAATGATTATTTTATATTCCTAAATGTGAATTAATCATACAAATAACTTTCGTAAGTATTCAGCCTAGTCCTAGTTGACCCCAGGATGCATTAAGTATATTACTTTTTATCATATTTACTTACTGAGTACATTTTATTTTTGTTCACAGTACCTGGTTATGGATTATTATGTTGGTGGGGATTTACTCACTCTGCTCAGCAAATTTGAAGATAGATTGCCTGAAGACATGGCTCGGTTTTACTTGGCTGAGATGGTAATAGCCATTGACTCAGTTCATCAGCTCCACTATGTACACAGGTGAGTTAGCCAATCTGTCATTCCATCTGGTTGTTAAGAAATTATATCTAGAAACAGCTCTGCTGCTGCCAAATTATTAATTATGGTCTTGATTACATCTCATTTGCAAATACTTTATTTTGAGATTGTTTTGGTTTTGCTTTTTACTGTTACTATTTATCTGCATTACTGAGCTGATGTGTCTACTTTTAGTACATGTACATAGACAATATCTACATATGCCCACTTGTAGTCAGCATTTTTGTGGAAAGCTTTGTATTTACATGTAATGTCCTTCCCAAAAGGAGCATGCAGCAGTTTCCTTATGGTTGGTTCTTATAAACTGATGTTAGAATGCTAGGCCATAAATTATAGACTTGTTATATAGTTTATTTTTCTCAAGAAAAGGCTTGGGCTGGGGATATTTCAAGGATGAGGCTCTGAGTTTGGTTCCCATGTAAGCAACATGTAAAAATCAGGACATGGCAGCATGTACCCACCAGGGTAGAGGAATGCAGAACCTTAGAGACAGTGGTTGGCCAGCAGTTTAGCCAGATTGATGAGTTCCAGGTTCATCTAGAGACAGTGTCTCAGAAAGTATGGTAAACACCCTAAATTTACCTCTGACCTCCATACACACATACCCACATGTACACATTCTTATGTACATACACACACAGGAAAAGACTTTAAAGGATTACATAGATATAAAAAGGATTTTTTTTGTTTAAAAGACACAGATAGTTTTGATGTTTATGGCATAACCTTATTATAAACTGTCAAATAATCATTTATACTTTTTTCTACATGAGTTAGGCATGGTGGTATATACCTGCAGTTGTAGCACTTGAGAAGTTGAGGCAGGAAGATCTGGAGTTCAAGACCTGCTTTTGTTATAGAGTGAGTTAGAGGATAACCTGGTCTATGTGAGATACTGTTTCAGACAAAACAAAACAAAAAAATGAAAACTTGTTTTTTTTTTTTTCTGTGTGTATTACATACCATTTATTATTGGATGAAAAAAGTAGGCCTGTTTACAAAATGGTTTCAAAATGTCAGGTTTTTTTTTTTTTTTTTTTTTTTTTTTTTTTTTTTTTTTTTGTTTTTTTTTTTTTTTTAACTGCTGAGTAATAAATACTCCATTGTGTAAATGTACCACACTTTCTTTATCCATTCTTCAGTTGAGGGGCATCTAGAGTGCTTCCAGTTCTGGCTATTAGAAATAATGCTGCCATGAACATAGTTGAGCAAATGTCCTTGTGGTATAATTGTGCATCCTTTGGGTATATGCCCAAGAGTGGTATTTCTAGGACTTGAGGTAGATTGATTCCCAATTTTTTTAGATCCCATAGTGGCTGTACAAGTTTGCACTCCAATCAGCAATGGAGGAGTGTTCCTCTCCAGCATAAGCTGTCATCAGTGTTTTTTATCTTAGCCATTCTTATAGATGTAAGATGGTATCTCAGAGTTGTTTTGATTTGTTTTTCCCTAATGGCTAAGGATGTTGAGCAATTCCTTAAATGTCTTTCAGCCATTTGAGTTTTTTTCTGTTGAAAATCTTCTGTTTAGATCTGTATCCCATTTTTTATTTGGATTATTTGATATTTTGGTGTCTAGTTTCCAGTTATAGCTAGATCAATAAGACAACAAAAGGGAATAAAGGGGGTGCAAATTGGAAGAGAAGTGAACCTTTCACTATTTGTAGACGATATGATAGTCTACATAAGTGACCCCAAAAATTCTACCAGGGAACTCTATAGCTGATAAACACCTTTAGTAATGTGGCAGGATACAAATTAACAACAACAACAAAAAATCAGTAGCCCTCCTTTATACAAACGACAAGTGGGCTGAGAAAGAAATCAGAGAAACATCACCCTTTACAATAGCCACAAATAACATGAAATATCTTGGGGTAACTCTAACCAAACATGTGAAAGACCTGTATGACAAGAACTTTTAAGTCTTGAAGAAAGAAATTAAAGATATCGGAAAATGGAAAGATCTTCCATACTCTTGGATAGATAGGATCAACATAGTAAAAATGGCAATCCTACCAAAAGCAATCTACAGATTCAATGCATTCCCCATCAAAATCCTAACACAATTCTTCACAGACCTTGAAAGAACAATAATCAGCTTCATATGGAAAAACAAAAAACCCAGAATAGCCAAAGCAATGCTGTACAATAGAGGAACTTCTGGAGGTATCACCATCCCTGACTTTAAGCTCTACTATAGAGCTACAGTAATAAAAACAGCTCAGTTTTGGCATAAAAACAGACACATGGATCAATGGAATCAAATTGAAGACCCTGATACTAATCCATACACTCCCGAACACCTGATTTTTGTCAAAGAAGCCAAAATTGTACAATGGAAAAAAAGAAAGCATCTTCAACAAATGGTGCTGGCATAACTGAATGTGGACATGTAGAAGAATCCAAATAGATCCATAGCTATCCCCATGTACAAAACTCAAGTCCAAGTGGGTCAAAGACCTCAACATTAATCCAGTTACAACAAACCTGATAAAAGAGAAAGTGGGAAGTAGACTTGAACGCATTGGCACAGGAGACCACTTCCTAAATATAGCACCAGTAGCACAGACACTGACAGCATGAATTAATAAATGGGACCTCCTGAAACTGAGAAGCTTCTATAAGGCAAAGGATATGGTCAGTAAGACAGAGTGCCAGCCTACAGAGTGGGAAAAGATCTTTATAACCCTACATCTGACAGAGGGCTGATAATGGGGGATGTCCTTCTGTATGCTAGAAATATATGTTTCTCTTATTGGTTGATGAATAAATGCTGACTTTCCATTAGCCAGGCAGGAAGTATAAGTGGGGCTACCAGACTAGGTGAATTCTGGGAAGGGGAAAAGTGGAGAAACAGTTGAGGGAGACGCCATGTAGCCGCCAAAAGAGTAACATGCCAGAGCATTACAGATAATCCACAGCCTTGTGGCAATACACAGTTTAACAGAAATGGGTTAATAATTAAAAGAGAGGTAATCACTACGAAGCCTGAGCTATTGGCCAAATAGTTTATAATTAATATAAACCTCTGTGTATTTATTTGGAACTAATTGGCTGCGGGACCAGGTGGGACTGAAACTTCCATCTTCAGACTTATCTCCAAAATATATAAAGAACTCAAGAATAATAACTTTGTTTTACTGAGAATTCTAGTACCTAGTACCTACTGACAATACCTAGTACCAACTGAAGGACATGAAGTTCCATATTTAAAGTGAGCACTAAATGCTTATCCTGTGATAGAATGTAGACCCACTTCATTGCATGTAAAAATCCCTGGAAGGGTACAGGTGAATGAGGCAAGGTATATAAACAATGTACTGTTTGATCAGTTGGTAGCTGCTAAAGCATAAAGTATGACTTTTTCCTTTTTGTGCTTATTGGATATAATTTAGTATGTGTCATTGCTAAGGATTTCTTCTTCTAGAATGAGTTTTGAGTTTTCAAAGGACTTTTTACAGGGTATGGATTAGATCACTGCAACATGACATCCCTTTTGTTAAATCATATTTAGGAACACTTGATGTGAATTGTGTCTATCACAAAGGGTTATATTAGTCATTATTTCTTTGAATATTTACCAGATTATATTTCCTGATAATTAAGTCTGATCCGCCTTTCCTTTTTCCCATTCAAGTTTTCTTCTTCTTCCTGTCTCCTTGTCTTCTTACTTTCCTTTTCTGTAATTGATCTAGGTAACATAAAGTAAGAATACATAAATTGATGCCAAGATATGAAAAGGAACAAAGACTCATAGTGGTTAAGACATTATATTTGAGGAACTGGAAACATGGTTCAGTGGTTAAGTGTATGTTCTCTCTAGCACCCACGATAGGTGACTGACCTTCACCTCTAACTTCACTCCAGGGGAATCCCTCTTCTTGCCTCCACAGTCACCTGCACTCAAACACACATACCCACACACAGATACATATGTATACATGTAATTAAAATAAAGACTTCTAGAGAAACTTTGTTTGGAAGTGAAGAAGGACAAGTTGATGGCTTAGTGGATAAAAGAACTTGTCACCTCCTGAGTTGAATCCATTGAAACTATGGTTTAAAGAGGGAACTCATTCAAGAAAGCTGTCCTCTGATTTCCACACAGACTCCATGGAATATATGTGCTCCCCCAATAGCAATAATAAATTAAACAAATTTAAAAATAAACTTCACCTGGGGAGAAAACTTCCCATTTCAATTTACAAGTTTCCATATTTTTTTTTATTGGTTACCTTTTCTTTTTCCTTGTATATTTTTTTCATGTGAAAAAACCCAAGTTTCAGAATAAGTTGAAATCTTTTTTTTAAATTCTCTAAGGAGAACTGCAGTTCTCCTCCCTCCTTCCCTCATGGCCCCCCACCCTCAATCCACTCCTTCTCTTTTCCCTTCAGAGAAGGGCAGGCCTCCCAGGGTTATCAACCAGATATGGCATGTCAAGTTGCAGTAAGACTAGGGCCCTCCCCATATGTGAAGGTTGGAGGAAGCAACCCAGTAGGAGGAAAAGAGGTCCCAAAATTAGGCACAACAATCAGGGACAGCCCCTGCTCCCACTGTTGGGAGTCTCACAAGAAGACAAGGCTTCTCAAACAGGTTAAGATTTCTAGGGTGACATCATGTCTTTTTGTCAATAAAATCTGTTTTTGAAGGTGAATTGGACAGATTTGGGGAAACGTAATGGTTTCATGTTCCTGTTTACCACCACCACCACCACCACCACCACCACCACCACCACCACCACCACG